AGGGTTAGCCCCGTGATGGGTATTAAGGAGGGCATGTATTGTATGGAGCACTGGGTGTTATAAGCAAACAATGAATCATGGAACATTATATCAAAAACTAATGATGTATGGTGACTAACATAATAAAAGATAAATTAAAAAATTAAAATTCTTACAGAAACTCACATGTTTTAAGAAATCAAGATCAAATAATTTTGGAAAATATTTGGCAAATAAAACTATTTTAATTTAAAAACAAAAAGGAAGTAACTTGTTCTTGAAAAATATATGCCAACAATGATAATGAGTTCTTTTTTTTTCCTTTTTTGGGAGGTCAATTCAATTATTTCATAAGGTAAGGAAGCATTCATTCTGAGCCTTGATGACGTTTCATTTTGGATTAAGATGTTTCCCTTTTTATAAAAAAGGGAAAGTTAATTTTCTTTGTACTATCCTCAGTGGACTGGGGAATAGTGCCACTAGACACCGTGGATGAATGTCACAGCTTCTTCAATCAATTCTTCTGTGACTTTGAACTTAACCTCAGTAAACCCAAGTTTCCCTATAAGCAAAACAGTGAGTGACAATAATATTACCTCTCTAAGAGTTCCTGGGAAATAATCTATGAAAGATAGTTGGCACTGTTTGTGACATCTAGTAGATGCTTAAAAAGTATTAGCCAGCCTAGTTATTATTAATATTAGCTCTTATTATGTTCCAGTAGCCACATTTTAAAAAGTAGTAAGTAACTGGTGACATTAATTTTAGTAATATACCTTATTTAACCCACCCAATGTAAGCCAAATTATGATGATTTTCATTTTAAATGAGAATAACTTTATATTGTCTTTTTTCATATTAAATCTTTGCAATCTTGTATTTCACAGTGAGGGCAGGTCTCAATTTAGATTGTAGCATTACGTGTTTTCACGATGCAGCTTCATCCTCCACCCTCAAAATTTGAACTGTGCCAGAAAAATATTCCTCAGAAAAATCAAAATGAAACCCAAAACACAGTTGTGTAAAGAAGCAGCACTTGAGAGTGCTCAGGTATTCCCACTGCTCTTCTGTACGCCTCGTACAGCCCACGATCCCCGCGTCTCGGCCGCAGGTGTGGATCCCAAGCGGAAAACCTCGGCCCTTCAGCAGGGCAGACAGCTGCTTTATTGCAGGAGCTTGAAACAGGCCAATACACTTCCAGCACACTGAGGGCCCTGAAGTCCCGTTTACGGAGACAAGGCCACCATCATGTGGAACCTGACGGAACTGCAGTGAGATTTCCGTCCCCACTGCATGGGGGGGCGAACGGGGGGGGGAACGGGGACTCAAATGACCAAGTCATCAGTGCATCCCCACTGGGAGAAAACTTCAAGAACGCCTGCTCAGCACACCTAAGAAAGGTGAAGTCAACCTCGAGAGGATCCAGAGAAGGTTCAGAGAAGACCAGTTACTATTTCAAGGGAAATAAAAGACAGACCAAAATAACTAGATTAATATATGATCAAATTCAATGAAATCATAAAATGTAAAATAGAGTCTCATACAGATCTGGGCATACTGAAACCAGGGTTCATATGGTAACTTTAAGAATAATTTTGTATAAAATTCACATTTTGGGCCAGGAAACTTGTTAGCAATCTTTACTGTAAGAGGGGAAAGAGATTTTGAATAAAGTAAGTGTGAGGAGATGATGAGTTCTTCTTTTTGGAGAATATTCAAGCCAGTATAATCAGTCATCAGGAAGATTTGAAGTGACAAGATGTCTTCCAAATGGCAAATTGCTTTGGCAATATTACCCAATTTCTAAGATGATTCTATACACAGTCTGTCTTCTGGTTTCAAAACACTGTAACATGGTACATAATATTATGATTTTACATAATATAATATTATAAGAGTTTCAAAATATTCAAACACATAAGATGTAGGCTCATATACTTGAAATGACCAGGGCATGTGTGTTGAGAAAAATGGGAGATAATCATGTCACATCAAAAACACGGTACTGCAAATAATATATCATCTTTTGTTTTCACATCTTTCACCGAAAGATCCGTGTTTTCCTTTTCCAGAAACAGGACCCCCAAACACACAGATATTTCCTCCCTGGAAAATTCCAGGACATATCATTAACCGTATGCTTTCTGAGACTTTAGAAAAGATTATGTGATTACCGAGAGCCAATGTGGATTCACTAACCAAGCATTTGTCAGAACACATTAGCCTGTTTTAATAGGATTGACATGTGGGGTATAATGATTTCTACATGGCATTTAAACGAAGGTTACTCTTATTTCCTGGTTAATAATATTGTAAAATATAGTCTGGATTGCTGTCCTGCAAACTAATGAGAAATTTCTCCAGAGATGTTTAGTTCTTTGATATTCAGGGGCATTTGTAATGTAATATTGCTAAACTCTGGGATTTATCTTGTCCTTTTAATATTTTAGCAATGACATGACTAAATGAAGAAAATATGGCTATCAAATGTGCAGATGACATAAAGTTTGGAGGCCAGCTAATATGATAAATATCAGAACCAACTTTTAAAATGATTGTGGGAGGTCTAATCCAAAATAATGATATTTAACAAAGATAAATGATCTTTCATTTTAGTCAAAACAGTGAACTTTACAACCGGATTGAGGAGACCTTTCTTGGAAGCAATTCATATTTAAAAATTTGGAATTTTTGTTTATCACAAAACAAATATAAGTATGGTAACACACAAGCAATTTTATTTTACTCAAGTGGAACTGTCGGGCCCAAATCGAATTTGGTCATCATCCCACTGCCCTCTCTGCTAGCCAGATAACACCTAAGACACACTGTATTTTGGGGCTCCATTCTGAGAGATAGTGACAAGTTAAATGGTAGATGGAGAGAGTATTTTGAGATGGTAAGTGCTATAGCAGCTACTTTTTTTAAAAGATCCATTTTAAGGAATTGTAGTTATTTTCAGTATAGCAGAGTGGTTAAGCTCACAGATGACAGAATCAAAGAGAACTGAGTTCAAGTCCCAGAATAACCAATAACCTGGTATTCTGACTTTGGGCAAGTTATGTGAACCTTAATTTCTGCGTTTGTACATTACTTATGGTAATACTGACAAAAGGGGAGAGATGCTAGTGGGAGTTCGATTCTAAAGAGGGTAATACATATTCCATTTAGCTTTGTAAGGTGAAATCCATAGAAGAAGAGAGATTTTGATTTAATACATCCTATTAATCTAAATTACCCAATTAAATCACCCAGCGATTTAGATTACCTGAGGAATGAGCTCTTTGTCACTGAAGCTTTTTAGAGGAGTCTGAATTACCAGCTCTAGGGGGATGCCTGCTGTCAGTTGGAGGTCTGACTACATGTAGGACCGTTAATTCTCATCTCTATAACTACGTCATTTCAACAAGCAGTTACTGTCACCATGCACTGCACAACGAACAGATAGGCAGGTGGCCTCCCTCTGAGTCTAAGGGAAATAGGCATATACCGAAACTACTACATTACATTACATTACAGTGGGTTAAGGAACAAGCACAGAGTTAAGATTAAAGTACAACAGAGGAGGGGCCCCCCAGGACAGTCACCAGTCACCTGTCTGTGCCATCTCTTTAGCCCGCTGATCATCTTTGTTCTTATGTCAAATGTCACCCTTTAGAACTAAAACATCAGAATACCTTAAAGCTTATTGGTGGCCTGCAACAAATTATCTTCTCCAAAATCCAATTCCAGCTTTCTATCCATTTCCCTCTCCCCCAGCCCTCTCCAGGAACCTTTCCTCCTTTTATCTTTCTAGGGAAGTCGAGCAGGAAACAGTGTATGCTTCTCCTTCACATCCTATTCTCCCTCCTCTCAGGATGTTTGTTTATTTTTTAAGACACGTAATCTCACTGTTTGCTGAGGAGTGAGGAATAGTCCTTATGGACCTAGGACTGATGTCCTAAATCCTTTCTATCGACAACCATTTCTTTCAGTTATTAAAATAGTCTCCATTCCAAGGCTAAGTGCTGAGCTTCCATTGTGACTGGCCTTGAGTGTTCTTGGGAAAACACAACCAAACATAGTTTTCAACTCTTTCGTTCTTTGGAAAAACACAACCAAACATAGTTTTCTAACTTTATTCCCCAGCTGTATGGACATTCTGCCATATCCTTTCTCTCAGACTGCTACTTATCTTGGCTTTCAGTAATGCACAAAATCACCCCCTTTTGAAAGGGAAAGAGGGAAATCAAACTGTTTTCTGTTAATGAGACCATTCTATTTATTTTATGGGGGGACATCTGAGAAAAGGTGGTAACTTGGCTGCTGATCTTTCTGCAAAGAATGCTTTTCAGTTTTAGGCATTCTGCATCAAATTTAAAGGAAGAGAAGTCATCTCTTTGGAGAGCCAAATAGGGTTGCTATGGACTTGAAACAGAACTTTTACCTAAGTCCTATCACATCCCAAATAATTATAGCCTTGTTTTTCCACTTCTTCCTCTGGCTGCTGGATCCATTCCATATTCAGGGCACAAATTGATTAGGTAATGAAGATGTGTAATCAATCACTAGCCTGGCAGGGACACAAGGAAGGCACCCCAGCCAGAGCCCTGTCTGATCCCTGAGGAGAGAGGATATGCTGAGGCTGGTGGCTGGCGAGAAACATTTCTCTTGAGAATGAGACAGTTTGGAATATTTTTCTCCTCAGGCAGATTTTATCATCAGTTTATATTTGAATCTTTTAAGTATTGCAAGAATTACTTAGCAAGAGTAGTCCCTCCTTATCTGCAGGGGGGATACGTTCCAAGACCTTGAGAAATGCCTGAAATAGAGGATAATGCTGAACCTTATATATATTAGATGCTATGTTTTTTTCCCTACCCACACATACCTGTGATAAAGTGGAGCTTGTGAATTAGGCACAGAAGAGATTAACAACAACGATAATAAAATAGAGTAATTACAAGAATATATTGCAATAAAGGTTATGTAAATGTGTGAGCACTCTCTCTCTCAAAATATCTCACTGTACTTGTACTCACCCTTCTTCTGGTGACGCTGTGGGGTGATAACACGCCTGCGTGGTGAGAGGAAGCGGGGTGAATGACGAGCGCGCTGCGCCCCAGCGTTCGGCTACTCTTGACCTTCTGACAATCAGTTAGAAGGAGAATCATCTGCTTCCAGGCTTGTTGACCACCAGTAACTGAAACCACCAAAATTGCAACTGTGGATAAGGGGGGAGGGGGGACTACTTTATTTTAGTTTCTAGATGCTTTTGTTGTTATTTTGGTTCAAATCCTGGTTTAATTTCTAGTTTTACGATCTAGTTATCAAAGCTCATGACATAATTTCTGCTTTTTCACATTTGATGAGGCTTTTTTTGAGGGAAAGCGTATGATCAGTCTTTGTCAACATACCAAGAACTCTTTAAAAAGGGTGTATTTTGGTTTTCATCATATAATATTACTAGAGGGAATGGGTGGGGAGAAGAGGTATCTGATAATTCCAAATACAGTTAAAATAAAAACTACGGCCAATTTTCCGTGATTCTGTAGGCACGTTAACCAGTATACATAACCATAATGAAAATGGGATAAACCTGGGGTGGCCATCCTGCTGCCCTTTTGCTTCCTGAATTCTCTCTCTTTTTCCTAATACATTTTCTGTTAATTTTTCTGGGTTTCCAGATACACATTTTCCATCTTCAAATTGCAACTGAGTTTGCTTTGTGGCTTTCTAACATCATTATTGCAGAAGGCACTCTAAGTACCGGCAGATTGTGTTCTTCGAACATAACCAGCTTTTCTATTTTTAACATTTGCTTTTAGTGTTTTTTTTTTTAATCCTGAATACCTATAGAAATCTCTTTTGCCATTGTAAGTACAAGGAAGAGAGTTGTGTGGATTTTTTTTCATTGAATTCTCCAGCAAATGATCATCCAAGTCTGTCTTCACACTCATGTGTTTCTAATTGTCTGTTTGATTGTTCACTAATGAAATGTTAATCTTGTTTCTTATTGTTTCAGATCCAATTATTCTGTTGTTCATTCAGGAACAACTATGAGTTAGTATCTTCATTATTCTTCTATCTGTTGTATTCTTCACTGTTTTCTTGTCCTATCCTTTCCTTCTGCTTTATGGGAACATTCTCAAGTTTGTCTGGTGTATCACTGATTCTGCCCCTTATTGCTGTGGAAGAACATTAATATTCTTCTTTTCAGTTGTATTTTTAATGTCCGTGAAATTATTTCTTATCCCCCTCATTTCTAATACATTGTACCTTGTTTTGTCTTTAAACTAGCTCATGATTTTTCCTGGTTTTCTTACTTGTTTCATAGAAGCCATATAAAAGAAAAATTCAGAAAATTAAACACCGCTTTCTGCTTTTTCTTTTTCTCCTGGCTACACATAAATCTTAGAGGATGTTCTCTTCTTAGTTTATTTCCGTTGAAATTCTCCTTTTTTTTAAGCTTGATATTTTATAGTATCCATGTTCAGTTTGTGGGTTGTTGTTTTTTTTTTTTTTGTCGTTGTTGTTGTTCTTGTTGTTTTAATTTTCCATCCCCTTATCTAATAATAGGAGTTTTCTTCCAGATAATTTTTTCTTTTCAGGAGCAAAATGCCTCATCTCGATTCTTTCTTCAAAAAGTCAAATCCCTATTTTGGTTTATAGTTGGGAGCAAGAAGTTTTAAACTCTATTCCAAGTGCCTGGCAGAATTTCATCATCACCATCACAACTACCATCATCACCATCACAGCTAACAAATACATAGCATTTACCATTCGCCAGGCATTGTTCCAAGAGCTTTACGTATTTCAGTCTCTCAACCCTCCCAAAAGCCCTATGAGGTAGATACTATTATCATCGCTATTGTAGAGATGAGAAAATTGCAGAACAGGAGACTGAATAACCTTTTCAGATCACTCAGCTGGTAAGTGGTAGAGCCAGGATCCCAACCCAAGCTGTTTGGCCTTACACTCTACTCTTACCGTTACGTGTGATGGCTTGCCTTCTCTTACTGTTTTTTTTCTCCGTATCAGAAGTTCATAAATTTTTTGGATCTTAGTCATCTCCTTGCCTACAATGGATCTCTGGACCCTCCAGGTTTAGATTCCCTGCTTCAAACTGATCGAGTACCAAATACAGTATCTCTAGAATTTTCCACTGTGAGGGCTGTTCCTGATGTTCTTGATGGCCCCTCAAAATACACTGTCCACCTTCCCCTTACTTCCTGCTTAACTGTTGTCCAGAAACTGTGTCCCACCAGCTGAAAGACAGATTTGGGTTGAATAAGGTGGGAAGCAGCATTCTGATAACATAAAAACCACGTCATGTAACAAGGAAATTTCTGATTAACTTTCTGGGGATTACTGTTCAAGTGGACAAACTAGGTGGCAGAATTTAGTCAGGAAGTCTTGTATTCTGTCTAGTGTCTTAGTGGCTGTTTGGTACAAATTATTTTTTCATAACTATAAGAACAGTGGAAAAAATTTGTGGCTTCAGTTTTATCGTGTTGTGAACTCATACTGTTTCATGGGATCTTACAGATATATTAGTAGAAAGGAAAGAGATCACTGTGCAACAGGAAGGATCCCGGTTTTATGGGGTGTGAAACATTTAAATATTGTATGGACTGGATGTTTGTGTTCCCCCCAATTTCATAAATCCTAACTTCTGTTGTGAAGGGCCTTTGGAAGGTGATTAGGTGGTAAGGATAGAGGATAGAGGTTGAGGGGTAATCTCCTTGTGAATGGGATTATGAATGAGGAAGAGGAATCTCACCAAACATAGAACTTGCCCATGCCTTGATCTTGGACTTCCCAGCCTCCAGAACTGTTAAGAAATAAATGTTTTTAAGCCACCAGTCTATGGTATTTTTGTTTTAACAGCCAAACAAACTAAAACAATTACCAATTAGACACAAAAATGAACACTTATTTAGAAAAGGAAAGGAAACCACAACATATTGAAAATTTAAAAGCCAACAAATACCAGTTTAATGATTATGGTTTTTCATTGTGGAGGCTGATGTTTCTGGTTAAGTAAGTCAGGCAACGCACATGATAGCTGCTCATTTATCTTGCAGCTGGAAACATTGTAGACAAGCATTTGCATGTCTATCCTACACCAGCTAGGCACTCATGGGAGATAGAAATTACTTTGTAAGCTTTTTTCCTCCCTTTGCACTGAGCAAAGGACCATATGTAGTCATAGAACCATTTTGCAACAGAACCACAGAATCATAAAATTTTAGAGTATGGAAATAAAAGACGGTACTTGACTGTTTCACTGAGGTTTTATATTTCAGTATAAATGAAAGATCAGAATATTAAATGCTGGCATCGAAAAGGGAAGTAGATTGCAAAATACCATTTAGTATCATAACTAGGCTGTTAGATATCAAGTAAGCTAAATATATATTTATTGCTATAAGACGAACATCTCAGTTTAATTGTTTATAGTTAGTTTTGAAAATATTCTTAATATAAACTTGTGCATTAACATGAGAATTTTAGGTTATTTCAAGCTATGACCCTTCATCACTTAAATTTGTAAATACAGACCTTATAGGAATAATGTGTCCTGTTTACCATCAAAGTACATAAGGATACTATTTATGTTAATTGTAATCAATAGGATTGCGTATCCAATTTTCCAACTGAAACTAATGAATTAAAGACAGTAGTTTTATAGAGCACCTCACTGTCTCTGATTCTGCAAAACTGGTGACTTTTATAGTTCTCCTTGAGGAATGATGCTCTTTCCAAGTAAAACTTGGCAGGCAAACAAACTAAAATAAAAACAATTGTAATAAAGGCAAAGCCAGAGCCATGATTTTGGCTTTGTTTCTGCATATTACTCCACGTTAACACCTGCTCTCATTTACTTTATATAAAAAAAAGGAGAAAAAAAAAAACTAGTACATGGAGAAAGGGAAAAAGTAGTAATTAGGCATCCAACACTACAAGGGAATTAATTCAGTCCTGTCCTTCTTTGTTTCCGTTCAAGAATTTCTTTCTTGTCACCATTTCCAAAGCACTGATGGTACATGCAGGACAAAGGGGCATGACAATTCAGGCAGATCTGAGTAAGTTCTTGTCTCACTTTTTCTTTCCATGGAGACTACTGCCATTCTCAACTCTTTTGTAGCTAAATAGCAGAAACCAGTGCCAGTTTAAAAGAGCTTTCGTTGATCTAGTAGTAGTTGGTATTTAGTAACTGACTTAAGACTGGCTTATGAAATAGCAGAAATTAATGTTCCAAGACAATGATCCAAATATCCCTTGATGAAGTTCTTGGTAACTTTAGTTCTTGAACCATTGCTTATGTATCCATATATCTATCTCTTTATTAAATATTAGTAATTAGACTAACATTTGTTGAATTTTATAAGCCTTTGTATTTTTTTCATAGAATATTTCTCTTTGATATTAATAGTAAATAATTTTGGGGGCTTCCCGGGTGGTTCAGTCAGTTAATGTCTGACTCTTAGTTTCGGCTCAGGTCATGATCTCGGGGTTGTGAGATTGAGCCCCATGGCAGGCTCAGCGCTCAGCATGGAGTCTCCTTCAGGATTCTCTCCCTCTCCCTCTGCTTCTCGCTCCACACTCTCTCTCTCTCAAATAAATAAATAAATCTTTTAAAAAATAGTAAATAATGTTTGGCCTGTAGAGTTTACTTTAATATCTAAGGTGCACAAAGCAACTTGCTTAACTTATTATTTTTGTATATTATTTATCTGACATATCAAATATCTATACTTTTGTGACTTGCTTTTCTTCCCAAATGAAAATAGCTTCATTTTTAATTATAATGCATGCTTGTTATAAAAGTTCAAACTATAGAAATATAAAAGATAAAGTGAGATACCCCTGAATTCCAACAACCAGGGTTATTAGTGTATTTTATTAGCAAATATAGAGTATGCATCAAATATATATACATATATATAAAGCAGTTTTATTTTTTTAAGACTTATTTATTTATTTTAGAGGTGGGGAGGGGCAGAGGGAGAGAGAGAATCCTTTTTTTAATTTTATTTTATTATGTTATGTTAGTCACCATACAATACATCATTAGTTCTTGATGGAGTG